CTTCGGAGAATCTGGTTGTAACAAAAGCAGTACTTTCAGCCATTGATGGGTTGGGATTCAGCAGATTTTGGTGCAATTGACAAGCATTGTCATAGCCCGAAGAGCCAGGTCAATACATGATAGACGGGTAGTGGTTGAGCACGGTGAAGCTTGAGCTTGGGTTAAACCAGCAACGCCAGTTGTCTTTGGAAATGCAACTTGTCCACCTATAAATGTGTCTACGATGCAACTCGACTTTTGTTGTGTGCCAGTAGCTGGTGCCTCGATGCTTGAACTTCACCTTGCACCTTGATGTCGCTTCATCCGCAGTTGCTGATGACACTTGAGCTCGACCATGAATCGCCCTCGACCAAGCTTACCAGGACAGTTGCTCGGCGTGCTTCGAGTTGCAGGTACCAGATGCCGTACCTTGAACAGCTTCAAGTTGTCAGCGTGGGTGACTCGAGCCTCGATAGGCCTTGGTCAACCCAATGATGTCCAACGACGGTCGGTGTGACGGTCTGACAGGACAGTGTAGACACATGAATATGAATATCGTCTGGAATCTCGACAGCAATCAAGTAGTCGGACCCGGTGCCAGATGCCCGCCGGGACAAGCTGGGCTCGAGCTTCTTGTAGGCCTTGAACTTGTTGGAGCTGCGCACGACCTTCACGTGAGTGACTGGATGCATGCCACTCAATTGATAACAACTCACTGGATAGCCCATCCGCTGTTGAAGTGACAACAATCACGTTAGAAACGGTGTACAAAACAAGAGCGAGTGTGCAAATTGAGTGGCACTACAGTAGATAATAGGCACTCACTCACCCGATGGACAAAAACAGGAATGACTACCGAGGTGCCGCTGACGAATTGCTGCCAATGAACACTTGCCCGCTGGCAGCAATTCGATGCGCTTGTGGGCTCCCGACGCAGATTCGCGAATGAAGCTGAAAGGCAAACAGCGGACCGGCCAGCCAGGGGTTGGTGGCTGAGCTACTTGCGCCAGTAAACAGTCAGGCGGCATCCCATCCGCGGTTCGTGCGCTCCGACACTGTCCATCGAGAGCTCGGCCTTGCAAAATTACTCACTGGGGGCGGGATCACTCCGTCGCCGTATATTTATGAGGGTGTGGTTTTTCATACCGTTATTGCAGTAAACAGGGGAGGCTATGAGGGAGGATGATCGGGATATTGAGGGGGAACGCGAATAGAATATCAGCATACACAGATTAGGTCCAGATGCAAATACCCATCCGGGTTGTATCTCCAAAATTCTTTGCATCAGTGTACCAATTCGCTGGTACCAGCTTGCTCACCGCCAAATGTGGGTATCCTCTCCAAGTTGAAGCTTTCAATACTGGCCCCTATCAAACTTGCTGTAACGTATGGTAAAGGAAGATTGAACAAGCATCTACACAGCAATCACTTCCAAGCAAGGCCATGTGCAATTTGATTCCTACGCAAAACCGCTCTCATTATAATAGATACACTCTATGTTGTTTATAATCCAATCGACTGGTAATACTCGTCGCACCATGCGTATCAACAGCAGCATCTCCAGTGTGCATTTATCTACTGCAGCTGCCGTATTGCTTGCCCCACAAGACGATGCCCATTGTGTCCTGTACGCCGAGTTCTCTTGTCTCCACGCACACGCTCTGATCCGTTGACTCTTTCGACGATCTTGAGGGAAATCCTCATCTAGCTGAGCCAGTTCCAGACTCCAAAAATCGTCCAGCAGCGTCGTGTCATCTTGGCCGCCGAACAGGAATACACGCGGCACCTTACTACCTGGCAGTGAGGAAACAAAGGCGCTAGCAGCCCAGTACCGAGGCACAGGACGCTGTTCGTCAAGAGCGCTCTCATCCTCTCCAGATGCAGTAGCGACAGCTCTCCATCCGTCGATCAGATCTTCGAGACGCTTCAAACGAACGTCCAGTTGCGACTCGAGGCGAGAAGCTGCCATCGCCGTCCTGGACCCGAGAGACGCTCGTCGAGGAGACTTGAGTCCACGCCCGACAGCCATCAACTCAAACGGAGTCAGCAACGTCGTTCGTCCTGCATGAACTCTCCTCTCAGCGATACTGGGGCTCTCTCTGTCGGTCAGAGACGCAAGTTGCGTCCATCGAGCAGTTGGCGCGACACCGAGCGCCACACTGCGGGTATAATCCAGTCGATACAAGTCGCTCAGCTCCGAGCCAGTACCTCCCGCTGTGCCTCCGAAGATGAACATACTGCTCCCGACTACGACAACCGAGTGCTGGAACCGCGCGGTCGGGGCCGTTCCCGTTGCTATGGACGACAGATTCGTCCACGTGAAGGCAGGAACGCAAGGCGCAACGTCGAAAGTGACGTCCCACGGGTCCAGGGTCCCGACAAAGCCGTCCGCTGCAGTGTCAGTCAACTCAAGCGTCCAGTTCCCGGCAACAGGCAGCTGATGGAAGACCGAGAGCGCTTCCAGACTAGACGTCGACACGAACTGCAGTTTCTCCGTTCTTGGGACGCGTTCACTCTTATCTGCAGCTTCGTCTGGACTACGTAGCAACACAGGGAACGCTCTGGCATTCGGCGCAGTGCCAGTCGCTCTCTTGTCTCCTTGTAGGCTCCTCAGTCCTTGACTATCGCTCCACGTCGTCTCTCGAGCT